TTATTGACTGAACATTCACTGAAGATAAAATGAATGATCTGCTATCTTGACACATAACGCAGGACGATCGTGCATTGCTGATCTAACAAAGCGTGAAAAATATGTTGTATGTCGGTAAGAAGCCAGCGCTCTGAAAAATCCGAAGTCATGCGACTAGTTTGTGACCTAACAACCCGACCTGGAAAATGTACCCGGCGCCCCATTTCAGGGTGGAAGACATCCTGCTGGCTGTGGAGAACGGAGTGACCGGCCGGCAACAGGTGGGTACCGATACAGTCCCACACAGTTTGATGACCTGTCATCACTGTTAAAGCTTCGGCTGATGAGACGACTTCACGCTGACGACACCCACTACAGGGCGATGCGACCTTTTCCCTGTTCGAAGTTTGAAGCCTACAAACCTAGGCATCCCCGGACAGCGTGTGTCGTTGACTTCCTCGATACCCCCCTCCCGCAAGCATTTCCCCACAGAAGAGCGTTTTAGCGCTACGATGGCCCCCCCCTGACGTCCCCCACGTCCGACAGAGTCGGACGATCCTGGCGCCTCAGTCTTCCGACTCGGACGAAGAGCGCGTGGGCTGCGTCGCCCCGCCGCCGCCGTGGCCGCCCGCCACGCGGTTGCCCTCGGCGCACGGCCGGCTGCGGATGAAGCTGGAGCGGCCGGCTGGAGCAGCTGGCCGAGGACGTAAGCGCAGCAGCAGGCCGGCTCCGAGCGGCTGCTGCAGCAGGTGCTGGCGCGCCTGCCGCCACCGGCCGCGTCGCGCCGCGACGGCCGACCCGCAGGCAAATCCGACCACCACGGGCCCGCCCGCTGACGCCCCGGCGCCAGTCGATACTGCAGCGCCCGTGATGCAGTGTCAGTTAACACTGCAGCGCCCGTGATGCAGTGTCAGTTAACTCTGCGGCGCCAGTGATGCGCAGTGTCCAGTGGCGCTCCAGCATCCAGTGGGTGGGTGCTCAGGTATTCCACTGCGCGGGTGGATGCTCAGGGACTCCACTGGTGAGCGCTCAGAACTCGCGCTGGCGGAAGCTCAGGGCTTGTGGAGGTCTATGGCCGGTCCAGCCGTCGCTGACGTTCTGAGGTCTCGGCCTGATGCGCTGGTAGCCAACCGTTCGCATGCGCGCTGACGCGGCAGCAAGAGCCAAATGCGGGGTTGGGAGGGGGGGGGGGGGGGGAGGCTACCGAGGCGAACCAGGTCACGGGCCTCTGTGGGGTATATTTTCGGTTCAGACTGCTAGTGAGTACGTCATTCTCCATCGTGTGCGCGCATGATGCCTTTCCGTGTGCACATTTTTAATTCAAATTTGTGGTCTTCTGCGAGTGTGATTACAACACTGCGCTCATAAGAGATGTTTGGACGAATTTCGTCATAGCTCATGCACAGATAGGGTGGATTTGATCGAGAATTATTGCTGAATGAGAAACCTGGGCGCTCTTATTTTCCGAATTGTAACTCTATATTAAAGGCGTTTCACGCTGCATCATGGAATAAACAAACGCTTATCTAAAGGTCCGCAGCTCCGCATTATTTCCAGAAACAATTTGGATGCACATTGTCTTGTGGGATGCATGGGTGGTGAATATTAAATCAAATACAGCAGTATGCTTCTAGTTCAACTGATCAGGCTACGCCGTCGCTCTCTCTTTCTCTCTCTCTCTCTCACTCTCTCTCCCCCCCCCCTCTCTCTCTCTTTCTTTTTCTGTTTTGCTTTCTCTCTCTCCCTTTAAAAGAAATATTGCTGCATTTTGAATGAGTTTAATATGATTATTGCTTCTCCATCAGTATCACACAGCACCTTTAAAAGTGAAATCTTTCGCAACTATATTCCTAATAACATGAGAACATTTGCAGACAAATCACGAATCATACAACAAGTGTCATCAGCTACCAATGGCTTTATTTCAGATTAGCCACGTTTTCTCCAGAGGACCGATTCGGTCACGAAGATGCTCTTATTCGATCTTTTTCCATGCCGTCACCAAACAGCTCTAGTAAGAGCGCTGGATTTTTTGGATATCACCAGCTGTCATTTTTGCATATTCTGACAGCACCTTGTATCCCACGTAGCGCCGGGAGTGACTATAGGCTCGCTTTGCCAGACTAGTCAGGAGTAAACATGGTTTTCCAGGGGCATGCTCAGCCATCTTACGACCTATGTTGAAATCGATGTGTCACTATCACAAGCTTTCATATCATTCGAATTGCAAGTAACCTTTGCCCGTGCCCATGGAAGAATGCGGGCTGTCATAGGCAGTTGCAGAGTGTATGCAAGGAGGGTTGGTAGCAAACGGACCTGGTTTCGATGCAGACAAAGACGTATGTTTTCTGACATGATAGGCGCTGGCCTCATGCCATCGATGCATTCGGTATGATATGAACAAATGTTGCAAATAACAGATAACAGAAGCGATAGGGTGAATCTAGGGGGGGGGGGGGGGGAGGGCGCGGGTCGATGCGGCAACCATGGCTCAGATAACGAGTCAGAGCCTAAATTTTTGTTTTGAGGAGCATTGTGGCGCTGAAAAATATCGTTTTATTGCCCATTGTCTTAGTTTTTCAGTTATAGCCTTGGAGAAGGATTGAGACGAGAAATACGTCTCACAGCTGGAATCATTTTCCTTGTGAGAGTACATCCTCAAACACCCGCTACAATTATTTTATCAGAACAATGCTCTCATCCGGTGGTGTTCTGTTTATGTCACATATGGGGCAGGCGCTTGGTGATGCCATGCTCCCGGAACCCATATCCATACGCAGTCTCGTTGGTTCTCATCGAGCAGGGTCGCCAGGTACGCTCGAGTGCACCCGACAAGGACGCGCTCTTGTGCGCATGCGCTGTACGCTGACACAGTGATATTCCACAAACATCCGTAGCGCGCAGCCACGGGTGGAAAACAAGGTCAGCAGAAATGGGCGTGGCACGGCTGGCGACATGGAGAACTCCCAGCTGGCAGACGCCAAGCTGGAGCCACTTTTGACGGCAGCTGGTGCCTGTGACCACGGTCATGCCTGCCACACATGTTGCGTTCTCCATCCTCGCAGCCTGCCGACATGTAGTGCACCCCATCAGGCAGATGGAGAGAACGGTGTTCCTGGTGACCTCAGCAGGCAACTGTTTTATTGCAAGCGATCAAAAGCTCCTGTGAAGGAACAAAGCTAACGGCGCCCAGCTTATAAGTTACTTTGCACTGGACCACAGCGATCAAGTGGTGATCAGGTCCATGGCCGGAGCATGCCCAGAGCAGAGCAGATCTATCTATATATCTATTTATCTATCTATCTATCTATCTGTCTATCTATCTGTCCATCTATCTGTCTATCTACCTTATATATATATATATATATATATATATATATATATAC